ATATAAAAGTTTTGACAATAACGTCATACATGCAAAAATTATGATACTGGTCAATATGATTCTAAGTATATTCCTATCCCTGAATTCAACTTTCGTCTTCTAAAACTAAGGAATATCCTTTTAAATTTGTGTGAAAATAATTTTTAGTATGTTAATGGTTTGCGAATATAATTAAAAAAAAGCACAATAAATTCATGTATTATGCTAATGTAATAATAATCTTCGGCATTTAGATGATTGCTATATTAGTATACATCAATTTTCTCTTATTAATTAAATTTTATTATTTCTTCATATAAATGAATATTTAAATCATCACGTGCGATTATTAACGTGCAACGCAGGTTCATAGATACTAGTAATACAATACGATACAATGAGTAACAACCATCCAAACAAGCTGTAAGGGTGCATAGTATCTCGATCAAATTCTTGAAAAGGGTTGCAACACATACAAATAAAGGGTCTAATCTTCTCAAGCTCAGCGTTGTCAGCGACAACACTAGAAAACCTCTGATTTAGGGGACGTCGCCGATGGAATTCCCCGACGCTAGCTTATCCCATGAATCAGAATCGCTGCCAGTTCTTCCCTCAGAAATACTATTTGAAATACTCCTAAGGCTACCCGTGAAATCCTTATTAAAGATGAGGTGCGTTTCAAAATCTTGGTTTTCTCTAATCTCATGCCCCATATTCATCAAACCCCATATAAAATTTTCAACTAAGAACCAAGATTTTCGGTGTCTATTTTACGACTTTAATGAGAATAGCCTCACTCTCAACACTTGCTCTCTTGATACAATTATGTATCAAGAAGAATCTCCCCCTATACCTATACCTGTTCAGCTTGATTTTCCTTGTAATGGCATCGTGGGTTGGTGTGAAGGGCTGTTCTGCTTTTTTAACCAATTTTGGGATTTATTTCTATGGAATCCGTCTATAAGAAAGTTGAAAAAATTGCCCTTTTTAGGACTCGATCCGCGTTGTGGATAGAGTTCGTCTTATGGTTTTGGTTACGTTGAGTGTCAAGATGATTACAAAGTTGTAGACGTTAGGGGAAATTCACATGGTAATGGTTTTTTGAATGTATTTAAGATTTATCGTCTAAGATCTAATTCTTGGAAAAGGATTCAAGCCTATCCAGATATTACCTTTTGGATCTATCCTGGTAAATTTGTAAATGGAAGACTTCATTGGATCCTTGGTCATGTTAGTGATGAAAGTGATAGTGATGATTCAAGGTTTATTCTTTCGTTAAACCTGGTAGATGAGACATATAAAAATGTAGCATTGCCCGACCTTGTTGATGCTCGTTTAAATTGGGATATATGGAGTTTAGGAGGTAATCTATGTGTATCTTATACGTGCGACTTGGCCCAGATGGGTGTATGGTTTTGTGGAGTCATGGACTAAGGCTGCTTCGATCCCTTTTACTACTATTAACGATTGGATTTTTCCAATTTTCATCTCCCAGGATAATGAAATTTTACTGCAATATGATTCAGGTTTATTGTTATATAATTCAACACATAACACTTCCAAGCATTCTGAGATTCAATTCCATCATGGCTGTGGATTTAGGTTTAATCTGTAAATTGAAAGTCTTGTTTCGCCAAGTTTTGTGGAGGATGTTTGACAAGCTATGGATAAACGAGTGAAGGATGAAAATTTTTACTATGGATCTTCCTTATGTGGTCTTCTACAGATATTTTGGGTTTTAGGCCGTTAGATATTAGTATGGCACTTAAGATGGAAGTTGGTTCTTTCAAAATTTCATCCTTCACAAAAGTAGGTGCTAGAAAAAACACTAGAACACTAGCAAACCTCTGATTTAGGAGACGCCGCCAATGGAATTCCCCGACGCTAGCTTATCCCATGAATTAGAATCGCTTTCAGTTCTTCCCTCAGAAATACTATATGAATTACTCCTAAGGCTACCCGTGAAATCCTTATTAAATATGAGGTGCATTTCAAAATCTTGGTTTGCTCTAATCTCATGCCCCATATTCATCAAAACCCATCTAAAATTTTCAACTCAGAACCAAGATTTTCGGTGTCTTTTTAGGGCTTTCATGAGAATAGCCTCACTCTTAACACTTGCTCTCTTGATGCAATTATGCATCAAGAAGAATCTCCCCATATACCTATACTTGTTCAACTTGATTTTCCTTGCAATGGCATCGTGGGTTGGTGCATGTGAAGGGCTGTTCTGTTTTTTTAATCAATTTTGGGTTTTATTTCTATGGAATCCTACTATAAGAAAGTCGAAAAAATTACCCTTTTCAGGACTCGATCCGCATTGTGGTCAGAGTTCGTCTTGTGGTTTTGGTTACATTGAGTGTCAAGATGGTTATAAAGTTGTAGACATTAGGGGAAATTCACATGGTGATGTTTTTCTGAATGTATTTAAGATTTATAGTCTAAGATCTAATTCTTGGAAAAGGATTCAAGATTATCCAGATATTACCTTTTGTGGACCCCAATCTTACATTTCTGGGTCCACAGAAATCTGGGTCCACAAAACTGTGAGACAAAAAGGTTGTCTCATACAACTAGTGTTAGTTGTATGAGACACAAAATAAAATTTTCCCATCAGATTACAACTCGTCAAAACCAATTCTCTTAAAGATTTTGATGTCAGAATAGTGAAAATAGACTAGGGATATGACGTAAAGCCTGTACAAACTAGATGTCTTAACCATTCTGAGTAGGATGCCAATTCACTTATTTTAAAGAAAATCAATATTATGTTATCATAATTTTCCTTATTGAACTATACCGTACTTGATCCAATATAGTTTTTGTCCTTTCGATAGTGTGGCCAAGTCAATCTTGTTCTATAAACAGAAAATTCTAAATTAATTTTTATATAATATGTTGATATTCAAAAGAATATGAGGTACTATTAATTAGCTCTTGGTACCTTGCATGCGGCTTGATTTGAACTTAATATCTTTTGTACATACCCATTTTATTGAGAGCTAGATAAGATATCTCGATATACCGATATTTTAATACTATGAGGAATAAGAAAAAGAAATTCCAGGGAATCTAAAAAAGTGATCAACTACTAACAGTTACACTTTAGCAAGTGATGTTAATTACTCTCTAGTTAAATTAGTGCATTAGTACTTTATTGTATACAAACATTTTAACTATTTATCTTCTCACCAGTCAATACAATCAGTTTTCAATTCAATATGCTAATTCCTCTCCCAGAGTTGGTCACTTTTTTAATTCAGCCTTTTCATAAAAAATCAAAACGTAAAGCGCACACGAGACAACTCGTAAGTAGAGCATTTAAAACGGGCCAGCCTATCCCTGCCTAGCCCAAGCCTCGTGGGCTTTTAAATTTGGTGGGCTAGGACGGGCTGGCCCACCATATGAATGAGCCTTAAATTGGCACTCCAACCCAACCCTAAGAGGGCCGCGGGCTGGGACGGGCTGACCCTTCAACTTTTTTAGAAAAATAGAATTTTTTTAAATCCTTAAATATTTTTTCGTGACGTAGTCGATTAATCATATAAACAACTTCTGTTTGCTTAGAGCGTACAAAAAGCTTGATATTTGACGAGGAATCTCGTAATTAAAATGTAAATTCTCTATATCTCTAGCTATTCTTTTTAAAGTTACATGAATATTTTCTTAGTAACTTTTTTTCATTTTTCTCAAATTCGGAGATTGCTTCAATAAGTTTATATGCTGAGATTTCCTAATATTGGATTAACATCATTTGCCGATTTCATCATTATAGTCCATAAAATTTTTAAATTCCTGAAATTTGCTAGTGGTCTAATTTTTTTGTATGTATTTAAAATTGATTTTTTCCTATACTGAAGAGCATTTTAAATATTAATAATATATTAAAGTAATCCAAACTGATAATTGGCCGCTCAAAGTAATATTTTCTTTTGAAAAGATATTATTATTGACCACCTAAAACTTTTTGAGTTCGTTATTAATTAAGTAAAAGAAAAACTAATTTTGTCATATTACATGCATGTCAAAAATCTAAATTCTAGTTGATATGGAAGGGTAAATGAGCAATCTAGAGTTAGGGAATGGAGATTATAATTAATAGTTTTTTTAGTTTTTACTTTTTTTAAATATTTAATAGTTAATTAATTTGAATTTAATTAATTTTTGGCCCATGTGCCGGCCCAAGCCCAGCCTCGATCAAGCCTCAAGGGCTAGCGGGCTGACTTGGGCCGGGCTTATAAGCCTCAGTTTTAAATGAGCTCAAAAAATTCTAGCCCAACCCTATTCAAGTAGCGGGCTGGGTTGGGCTGACCTCACGGACCAAGCCCATTTTGACGGCTCTACTCGTAAGTCATAATTTAAGCATTTTAGTAAACTATTCAATGGAAACTTTAATTTGGGGTTTGAATACAATTGTCATCCATCAAGACTTATAATATAGTAATCTTTGTGTAACTTTTTCACAATTCACACAACAATAATTGTGTGTTCGATTTTACTATTTATCTTCC